CATATTTTCACTCTTAACATCCTCAGTCTTCAAAACCTGACATTTGCATTGTAATGTAGTGAGGAGAACACTAGCATCTCATCAAGCATTAAGAAACACAAGCACTCTGCCATGCTCAAGGCTCTTTCATTTGCTTAAATATAAATGAGTTTATGCCTGGCTTAATTAGTATTTATTTAAGGACATTTTTAATGTTCGTTAAAAAAAGAAAAATTTACTTAAGAATATATATCTTTTAAGGCTTTTTTTGTTTTTATCGATGTGGCCAAACAATTTGTCTTCGAAATTGTACCATCTTCCACGATTTTCATATTATACTGTACTAACTGCACATTCAGGAATATGTGGGTGTGCATAGTCAACGATTTCAGTTTTATTGAAATATTATTTGTTAGTATTATTTTTGTTGCTTTATGTGATTATATGGTACCTTCCACAATTTATTAGATTGATTATAATTTCGCAAATGGTTTGTGAGGTTGTCTTATGTATGAGTATGTTATAATACATATATAAAATGCTGATTTTGTAAAAAAAATATATTGATTTAAACAATGGTATAGTGGGCATAAGAAAGTCACTTTTGTAAATTGTTTGTATTTTTAAAAGTATAGTTATTACACACATTTAAAAAAAGTTTTGTTACCAAAAGATAACGTTATCAAGTACATATTTTAAAGATTAATAAAGCTGCTACAAAATGTATCTTTTTATATTAAGTTAAAGATGTACCACTATTAACAATTAATTGATACTAATTCTTGAAATTATGGAAAAGAAGCAAACCTTTGGAGAGGATTCAATTATCAATGTGCTCTTAAATGGGAAGTAGTTAAGTCTTGTGGATACCACAGTTTTTCTTAGTATTAGACATTGAAGCCATATTTGTTTTATAAAAGAGAGCCGTACATTCAATTTATATCTTAAATTGTAAAAGTCGCGTAGAGAAAAATTTAAAGAAATAAATATATTAACTTTGGCATAGCAATAATGTATGTATTGTTGTACATATATTATATTTATATATATACTAATGTATGTACATAAAAACATAAATAGCTTTCATAAGAATAAAGATGTTTATACTTTAAAAACTAAGAACAAACATAAGCTTGTAACACCAGTTACTAGACTCCACTGAGTCAGTAGTGCTTTTATGGGGCAACATATACGCTTTTAAAACAAAATTTCAGAAAATGTACAAAATTTGTCAATAAATAAGTTGAAATGTTTTATTTAAGGAAAAATGTACAAAAAGTGTTATTATAATATCAAAAAATACATCAATAATAACCCCTGGGATTGAGGTGATCGCCACCATGCCTGTACTATTAAAATTTATTTAAAAAATGTATAAACAAAATGATTGTAAAGTGAAATATGTTTTAAAAAACGTCCCGCTGGGTTTCTTGTTGGTTCTTCCCAGGACAGAGGTATCTGTAGTAAATAAAACATGACTTTCAATAAGTATTATGTAATAATCTATATTTAATAATAATAATTCTATTGTATTGTATTCTCTGTAACATAATATATTTCCTAACTTAACTAACCAGTTAAAAAGAATGTGTTTAAAGAAATCAATTGATATTGTGCAAATATTGTTAAATTTAACACATCTAATGTTATTAATTTAGGCAAGAAATTTTTAAACAATAAACATTTTAAATATATCCGGTTTTTATTTTATTAATAGGAACTAGCAATTAGCACAAGAAATATAAAGAACCATTAATTACATTGCAGCACTTGTGCAATGTAATTAATGGTTCTGAAAATATAAAATTGTAAAGTGCAAATAAAGGGCGGGCCCAAAGCACTCTTAATTTTACGCCACCTGACGGTTGGACACGGAACTTAACGTAAATAAAACTTGAGTTGCTCATGGGTGCTGGAAAGCGCCCGAAACGTCGGGAATTAAAAATAAAAAGTAAAAATAAACGCGACAAAATCCGTAAAAGTAGTTTTAATCATGTGCAATGTTCGCGTAAATATTAGAAATCATTAAAAATGTTATAATTATTCTGGTTACTAAATTACGAGGATTGAGATTATACTAGATATAAATTAAGATAATTTACTTCAAAAACTCCCTTCCGCCATTAACCTACTTTCTTTACTGGATATGTAATTAAATAATGTAATTTCATATTTTCTAAAATTTGTTTTAAATGATTTTTAAAAAAATATGTTGTCTTAAAATTGTCAATTTATTTGAAAAACGCTAGAATGGGAACATCCATCTATTGATTTTGTATCTCTATTGATTTTAAGCTGCTATGGTTTTTTTTTTACTATTGCTATAATTCTATAATAGGTTGATGCAGTATAAAGTAGCTCATAATGACGGAAGGGAGAATTTGAAGTAGATTATTTTCATATATTATTTCTCATATAATCTTAGTAGTAACGAGATAATATTCTAAAAAAATATTATAATTAATAATATTTTTTTAAAATATTGTTTGTATAATTCTTATAAATAAACATCAAAGAAAAGAATAGTTCTGAAAACAAAAAATAAAAAGTTGGTGAAGTTTACTCCATAAAAACGATTATAAAATATACAGATTAGTAAATGTGAGTAAATAAACGCTTTTTTATATTACTGAAAGCAAGCATGATACATTTACTTTTATTAATTATATAATTTATATCATTGACTTATATATTACTAGCGTAAGGACCGGGCCGTCCGAATAACTAAAACGGACCAGTGCGTTGGCCCTAAATTAGGGCCAACGCGAATTGTTCGTCAGTGGTACGCTCGCAGAACAGATTTGATTGTCATCTTGTCATAAATATGCCTAGTTGCGTTGTAAATGGATGCAAAAATTACGATACAAGGAAAAAAAAAGGAACATGGGATATCTTACCATAGGTAAGTAAACCTTACATTAATTTTGTTATAATTAAATTATTATATAAACGCATTTTCAACACACAGTTTTACAGTTAGTCAGCTTAGTTACGTTACCAAGATTAAGATAATAAAATTATATTATTTTCAAAATATTATTGTCCAAAATTATACCACGTTTGACATTTCATGTTTCTTTTTCCCCATGCGCCGATATATTGGCCTTACGCGAATAATCTATACGTTTCGTTATTTGACGGTTTTATTTTTATTTCTGTTTTATTTTGTATGAAGTTAGAGTAAGTTAAATTTTGAACATTGGTACCAAATTTTTTCTATATTCAATAGGGGTAAAACGAAAGAAGTACAAAAGAAACAATAACTACTTAATTGAAACTGAAAATCTGATTCATAAATTATTTTGAAATTCTGTTTTCTAACTTTTCTTTCTCGTCCATCACGCCGAATGGCTTGGTTCATGTTTAACCGATCATGCGGGGAGATCTGTTCATGATTTTGCCTTGGCATATGGTCTGACACAACTGGTTACTTCGCCTACGCGGATTCCAGATGTGGAGGATCATGCACCTTCCCTGTTGGACCTTCTGCTGACCTCTCACCCGGACGGATATCAGATTTCCGTCGAAGCCCCTTTGGGCTCCTCGGACCATTGTCTTGTCCGGAGTGTGGTGCCTCTACTCACGCTGAAATCGCAGTTGCATTCTGCAGGCTGCCGCCGTGTTTGGCACTATAGGTCAGCCGATTGGGATGGGATGCGGTCTTTCTTTGCATCCTACCCTTGGGGGCGGGTTTGCTTCTCGCCGGACGATCCCAACGTTGTTGCGGATTCTGTCGCTGATGTGGTACTTCAGGGTATGGAACTTTTTATTCCTTCCTCTGTGGTGCGCATTGGAGGCAGATCTCAGCGATGGTTTGGTCGCTCCTGTAAAATAGCATCATGCTATAAGCAATTTATTTACAAATTAATTAGATATATACAAATTAATTAGATAGAATGAAAGATGAAAATAGTAACCAGTAACAACAGTTACTAGACTCCAAAGAGTCAGTATAATTCCTTCATGGGGCAACATAGGTATATGCTTTTACAACAAAGTCCAGAAAATATAAGACCTTATCAATCAGTTTAACTTTTTAGTCAGCAAAATTTGTTTAGTAAAGGTTATTATACTACAGATTATGTGATTGATACTAATCCTTGGGAATGAGGAGATTGCTACCATGCTGTTTCTAAATGTTTTCATACTAATTTTTCTATAAGAAATATTGTAAATTAATTCTATTCACCAAAAGTCTCGCTGGGTTTCTAACTCGTTCTTCCCAAGACGGAGGCTTTTTCATATCTCTAATTTATAAGAGTTAAGAATTTTCATTGAATATAGACAAAGTTTAAAAACTGTGGTAGCTTCTACTTACATACTTTTTTGAAAAAGCTTTAATACAAACGTAATAACAATTAACTTACGAAAAAGATGGTGACACTGGTAACAGCGGATTTACTTGTGATGGCTTAGTGGAAGGTGCGGGTCCTAAAGGGAGACTTGGACACTCCAAATGCTGTCCATGTTCAAAAAACATGGTAGGATAACCTCGTTGGAGTTATCGAAGTCCCCCTGCATATCCTGCTCCTTAAAAACAAGTGGAATGAGACATTTTAGATACACATATAACATATTTTTATGGTCATGAGTTGGATTGACCAGGATAGCACTGCTGTCTTTTAGATAATTTATAGGCTGTTTTAATACAAATGGTAGATAAATACCAACATGTATATATATATATATATATATATATATATATATATATATTTATTATATATATATATATGTATATATATATATATATATATATATATATATATATATATATATATATTATTTTCCAGATCTCAATAAGCCGCGGCTGTCAGCCGCGTCCGTCAGCCGCGTCCGATAATTTGTTCTCAGCTTAATACTGACGTAAAAGCATAGGTATTATATCTCTATGCCGAATATAATGAATATATTCGTATTCGTTAAGATATTAGTATTTAGTAGTATTAGGTGGATTCATGAATCAGTAATCCAACTAATTCTGATATGCTAATATTTCATATTCACTTCATTTATACACTGACCGTTCAACATCGGTTGGATAATATCATTGGACATTTGTGACCGATATCTGTATCATTCGTATCATAAGTATGACGGACGGTGCGAGCGAGCGAGCCGAATGACCGAATGAACTAATTTGGCGGATATTAGTTCTCTATTGTTCAAACGTTAGGGACTATTTTCAAGTGAAAATTTTACAAATACAACTCTTTATAGATGTCTAAAATTTCTTGACTCTCTAGTGGTATTTTTAATAGTTTATATTTCAGTTTATTTATTTTAATAAAATTATTTGGGATATATTAATTTTATTGTCATGGTATTTCCCCATAATTCTTGTCAAGGTCAAATCAGTCAATCATCATATTTTCAGGTTTCATAAAACATTATTAAAAACTAAACTAACAAAACAAGGGCCCTTGTTTTCTGCAGTGGAATTTATTTTTATTCTTATCACTTAAACTCACTTTCAGTAATACTTATATACTATAATATCATTTATTTAATAACAACATTAATAATTATCAAAGCATATAAACCTAGCATACATGGCTATAAAAACTAATAACGTTACTTGGTAACATAAACTTAATACATGAATACAATAGTAATATGTATAACCGTCGTATTAAGATATCACTAATACTCATATATTAATTGAAATATTATAATATCACTTGACGAATATATTCATATTAACTAATACTGACAAATATCGATATTAACCCATCTTTACATACGGCATAGGAATATACCTACCTTAAATAAGCTAGTATAATCGGGAGAAATATACTGTAGTAAATACTAAATACCATACCATAGATAAGAGTGAATATTATACAGAAAAAATGAACACATGAATCAGTGGCTGCGTTTTGCAGAAAAAAGCCAAAATGGCGATCGTAAGCGGTAAGCGCTGACAAATCGTAAGTATAGCTATTTTATAGCTATTTTCCTCTAGAACACGAAGTTAGCTTTTACCGGGGAACCTAACCTAATTTACGAGTAAATATATGTTTGTAAAGTATTCATACTAAAAACTTACCAATCATGAATTTTTAACAACATGTATATGTTTATTCATGTCATTATATTACTTGAAACTAATATTGCACAAAACAACTTATAAACTCTACTTCAAAACAAACAAATTAAATAAGCAAGCTGGCGGATTGTGTCAGCGCTACTGAAGTTAGCAAACGTGACTTGGCCGAAAACTGTTTAGTTTCGCCATTGTGCTTACAAGCGCTTGCTAGCGCTATTTTCTGCCAAACGCAGCCAATATGAATTGTTTAACAATTTTGTCTCCCTCACGGATAGATAAGCAACACCTAGACCTGCACTGTCGCAGTTCAACTTCAATTATCAGTACTCAGTAGAGATGAAGCGTATATACTAGAACAGATCTAGGGACTAAGTATTTAACGAGACTAGGTTGCACCTATTCCAACTTTTAAAATACTCGATCCATCTAGTTTCACTGTGCCTACACGTTGTACTCGTATTTTGTTGCCGTATTAACTAGGCGCTTACGTAGTGTTTGCCTAAATCCTTAGTTTGTCAGTCATTTGAATTTGAACCATATTTCAATGCACATAAAAGTAACGTGACGCGTACTCGTGTTGTGTAAGAATATATTCTGTCCTTGTTTAAGTACACTATTCCGCAGTCTTTCTATCTTTGTCTATCAATACTCGAGACTCGAGACTAGTCGGGACTCGGGACTTCAACCAAATACTAGTACAAGAGTACAAGGCAGACGAGTGTCTGCTCTGTTTGCACTTTGCAGTACGCCCGTCAGGGTAAATGTATTCTGTGATTGTGATAGTACGGTACGGACTCATGCGAAAGTGATCTCGGTGGACACTGTATTCATGTTTCCATGACTACGTTACGTAAACAATTTACGTTTCCATGACTATGTAATATATTTTGATGTATATAAATCATTGACTTATATATTACTAGCGTAAGGATAGGCCCATATAAATAATTTACTCATAACATTTTCATACAAGAAAAAGTAGCGCATCTGTCATAATTCAAACGTCATAACACGATGTAACCAGAGTCGGATTTCGGAATATAATTATACAATTTTTCCATTATTTCATAGTGTGTTATAGTATCTTAATAAAACTAGGCGAAAATATCGTAATTTTATTTTAAGGTCAACCGACTTGTATTATTATTGGGTCCTTTTACTATTTAATATTAACCCTACAATATCGAGAATTTCTGTATTGTGCGTGAGTACTGCCTTGCATAGGTCGACGACATAACTTTGTATATGCATACATGATTTTTTATCACTTTTATCGTAGTTGGTTAGTATAACTCAGTTGCAAGCCGATACATATAACGATTTCCTTTTTGCGATGATATTTTACAGGTAACAAAGAAAACGTAAGTAAAACAAATTAATCTTAAAGAGCTTTATTTGAAGTTATAAACAAGTTACTTTTGTTATATGTAATATTATTGTTATAATAATTAAGTATTAGAATATTTTAAAAGACGAAAAAGTTTGGATAATTTTGTGTATAACATTACAATTATTGTCCTTTAAATAAAACAATTCTTTTAAATCTTTGTCTTTCAGTTCCCTTCCTCTGTTTTCTATGATAGCATGATGTCTCGTGATGCATTCTGACATTTATATACTTCTTATTTATGGCTCGAATAAGGTGCAATCTATGATTCAATGTTGCCGGCTGATCAACAGAGTACAAGTTTTTTTTTATAGAAGAGGGGGCAAACGAGCATGCGGCTCACTTGATGTTAAGTGACTACCGCCGCCCATGATCAACCGCAACACCAGGGGAATTGCAGGTGCGTTGCCGGCCCTTTAGAAAGGAGTAAGCTCTTTTCTTGAAGGTCCCCAGGTCGTATCGGTCCGGAAAAATCGCCGGTAGTAAACTATTCCACAGAGAGGTTGTACGCGGAAGAAAACTCCTTTTGAAACGTAGTGTGGTGGACCGCCAAGCATCCAGATGGTGTGGATGGTATCGGGACGTTTGCCGCGTAGTGCGTTCACGAAATTTGGCGGCTGGGATTAATCCGAACAATTCCTCAGAGCACTCTCCATGGTATATGCGAAATAAAATGCAAAGAGATGCAACATCTCTTCGCAGTCTGAAGCGAGCCGATCGGAAAGCACTCGGTCGTCGACGATTCGAGCCGCTCTGCGCTGGATGCGGTCAAGTGGAAGGAGCTGGTACTGGGGAGCCCCAGCCCAGAGATGGGAACAGTATTCCATGTGCGGCCGAACCTGCGCCTTGTAAAGTCGCAGGCAGTGTGCCGGCATGAAATACTGTCCGCTCCATACGCTCTGCTGAGCACGCCAAGCTTTTTAGAGGCCAATTTGGCCTTCTCTTCCAAGTGACCACGAAACTGCACGTCACTCGATATATCAACGCCGAGGATTTCGATACTGGCTGAGGCAACAAGAGGAGTGCCTTGAAACTGAGGAGATACGACAAAGGGGTTCTTTTTAGCGGTTAACGCGCAACCTTGTATCTTCTGGGGGTTAAACTGGACTAGATTTAGTCCAGTTTAACCCCCAGAACTAACTAACCAACTTACCATCTTAGGTTGAGTAATTTGGTTAGTTTCATAGTATTAATTCTTATTTGAATAGATAATTTTATCATTAAGGGTATTTATGTAGCAGTAATTCATTCAAGTCGGATATTTAATTTAGAATTAATGACGGGTATAAAAATGCAATACACGAACCGTTCGACGCCGCGTCGCCGCGACGTTCCCTATTCTATGGAGTATTTTAACGGGACTTTCACTGGCAGATAACTGGTGTTATAAGGAATTATTAGGGTTCCGCACCAACAAATTAAAACCCATGAAATCTAATGGTCATAAATTAATACGCAGGCGAAGTCGCGGGGAACAGCTAGTATTACATAAAATATGTATGAACTAAATTATGTTATATAATTTTTATATTTGTCCTGCAGGCGAAATGTTCGTCAAAAAGTGACAGGTAACGAACATTGTTTAATTGTAATTCTTATTTCATATCATTCCTTTCATTAGTTAAAGGTCTAATCTACATATTTCTCGGATTGTATATTCTTTGCGAGTTTCTTTTCGAATTGTTCTAACGATAATTTGCTTTGAAATCTGTAAATAATAATTAAAAAAAAAACTTTAGCTTGCTCTGCTCCTTCTGTTTTCCATCTTTGTTTTCATTTATTATTTACAATAAATAGTAAAAGGACTACTCGCAACGCCAAGACGCGCCAGATGGAGAACCAACTCCAGCTTACGCTCCAGGAAGTTAAGGCGTCCAGGGAGCAGTGTGAACTGTTGCTTAAGGAAAGGGATGATAATGAAAAGGAAATAGCATAATTGCCAAAATAAACACAATTAAAATGTGATAAGGTTAAGTTACACACTGATTACATTAGTGTTATAAAAGAAAGAGATCAGCTACAGGGAACAGTAATTGAGTTTGACCAATGCAGCAAGAAATATGAGGAAGCTCTCTGGTTTATTGCTGCGTTGAAGTTACAGTTGAATGAGGCGAATGAGCAAATAGCACAACTTAAAACATACAAAGATAACCTAAAAGCCTCCCAGACTCAGAGCCTGTTCTCTGAGCTTGTGCAATGTAATACCTATAACTTATTACAGCAATGTGCAACAATAGATTTGACAGGTGAAAACTCCACTTTAGGAAAAACTCCACTTTATACTACGGATTGATTGCAGTGAAACCAAATTGAAGAAATATGTAAAAATTAATAAATATGTGAAGAAAATTCAAAAATTAATAAAAAGTAAGATCAATACCAAAAAATTAGGTGAATGTGTGTAAAGAAAAGCAAGCATAAATGTATGAACTTTAACTGTATTCAAATGCCCCGAGACCAGTGCCTTCCCAACGTAGTAATGAACGTAGACCACCAACGTCCGGCTTCGAGACGGCTGATGACATCCACAGATTGGTAGGCATAGCCATCGAAGTCGGAACACATGTCCTGGCCGACATAAGGGCCGGGACAGACCCCGTAACCGCCGTCATGAAGGCGCTG